AAGTTCCAAGAAAAACCTTTTTTTCCTCGGGCGTCCCAGTCAGATTTTGATAAAGAAGAAAGGTTTTTTCTGAGCTGAGTCATATAATTGATTCAGGTACATATTATAGGGATGTTCTGTATCTTATTACCACTCAACTTCGTTCACTTGCGGTGAAAATAGTTATTGATCGTTGAGGCACCAGCATCCTAAATTCACATTCCACGATTGAGCCAGATGAATAATTTTACTCCGTGAGCAGGATAGAGCTATTCACGGTCACACACATATGGGTCGTTCTTGCGGCTCCAAAGCTCCCCAAAACCTTTTCACTCCTGTTGCTGGCTATGGGCGGCGTGGTGCCTGCGTCTCTCCGTCCCCTTCACTCTCTTCACTCATCTCTCTCATCCTCGTCCAACGTCTCATCGTCGCAGCGGAGTCCGCTCGGAAAAAGGAGACTTCGGTTTTGGCGCATTTTAATATTTTTCCCCCTTTTTCTTCATTAGTAGTCCACGTGACGTCGGCAAAACAATTATTTTACTGCAAAGATTGCAATGGTAGCCTCCCATTTCTTTGATTCAGGGAGGTAGGCATAAAAGATAAGCTGCTGGCCTAACTACTTCCTCTCAACCTCACACCATTTTCAGAACTTTCAGCTGTGTGACTGGCCTACGCAATGAATCGGAAAATAGGGCTTATTTTAAAGAGATAGGATTCATCCAGAACCATGTAACAAGCAAAAGGGTGCTTTAGTTGGTGGCGGTCCTCTGAATTCAGTCAACTTCATCATAAATCTACCTGAAGCCCTATTGATTGTCCGCTCAAATTTTTTTTGTTTTAAAAGTCATCATTTGACAAATATTATCAACATATTCCCATTGCTGATCCACGTGCTAAAATCTGAACCCCTTGAGCCTCGGGGATTGAAATTGCAAACCTGTGAATGTTCTCCGATGCGAGATTGCACGTACTGCACCACGTCTGTTTTCCCTTCTGATTTCTGCTTTTCTGGAAGCAGCAAAAAATTACTTCTAGCATGAGCGCATAGCGAACTCGTGTCGTTCACTGTAGTAACCAGATCGTTTATTGCTGCTCTTGCTACTCACCGTTGACTGCAAATCGTTTTCTTAGTCACTTACTTTTCCAGTTCTGCTGCACCTCATGTTAACGACGACTTCATAGAGGCGCCCGTCTTCTTCTATGACATGGACTACGATCTCAAGGATTTAAACGTAGGTCTTCTTGAAAAACGAGTTGTTGTTGTTGTAATTTATAAACTCACATGTTTTGTTTACAGACAGCTTTA